CCAAGTAGAAAGATGTTGTCTTGTACCCTATCATTATAGAAATGAAAACACTAAACAGTTCTTTAGAACAAAAAATAATGAATATAACTCATGTAGATTATAAATTAAAAAATAGTTATTTAGATGGATAAATCTAAGTGAATCAGTTAATTAATAAATATCTATGAATCCTCAAGACCCTTAACCTCATTATAGTTGTTATATTTTTTTAAATTATACTACGTTTTAAGTAGTATTATTAACCATCCTTTTTTGAGAGTTTATCGAGATGAGTTTGTTTTAACATTTTTTTTAAGGGAAACTATGTGGATATTATTTTAAATAAATCACTTCCACAATAAAAAAGATACATTAAAGGGTTATTAAATAAATTATTGGGAGGGCTCATAATCTTACTGCATTGTGCGCCACATTATCCTACAAATTTAATTTGATTAATAAAGAACATTTTATAAATTAAAATTGCACATAATGAAGTTGGAGATAACAGCTAGGGTTTCTCCGTTAGGATATGGTTTAAAACGAACCGTAACAGCTTGCTCTTTAGAATCGGCTCCATGGTTCTGTTTCTTCATTGTAAACGGTATTCGGCTTGATCTTGACTATTATTTATACCCTTTTGATTATATAAGATTCTCTTTTTATAATTATCAACAAAACTTAAATAATTCAACTAACTTCAATTCCTTGCGAATAATTATTTTCTTGGCATAACTTAGTTAGAAATAAAAGAAATATATTAATAAGCAGGATAATACAATTTAAAATCATGTGTATATTGGCTCAATATGTAAAAATGGCTATCTAATGAAGAAATTCTATAATCTAATTTTATAAAGCTGCTCCTATTCTTATATTCTAAATATATTTATTATTACCAAAGGCGCATTGTCTTTTTGTATTTATTTTGTAGTTCTTAAAGGCTTAATTTTTTAATTAGGGCTTGCCCATAAAAATGACTTTAAAAAGTCGAAATTTTGTGTTTTGTTTACTAATAAATTTTTAGGAAACCTTTAAACTACACCAAAACATTTTAGATAACTTTGGGGGGTGCGGTGCTCTAAGGTAAATTCTCTAGAGGCGTCATTTTTAATTGTAATCTGCCCGGAATTTTTCAAATCCCCGATCCTGAACGATTTTTTTTTTTATTATACCGAAATTCACGATCTTAAATAAAAATTATTTATATGCCCAGACTGGCCTGAATTTATTTAAATATAGAAAATTTAATATTTTTTTTAATTTAAAAAAATGTTTATGCCATAATAAAACTATTAAAATAACAGATCAAAAAAAATTATGTAATTTAAAAAAGACAAATATAAGAATTATATTTAAAAAAATATATATAAGAGGTGGGGAACAAAAAAAGTGAGATCTGAACTAAGTTTCGTCAGAACAAAGCGATTTGAGTTGATTGTAACATTCTAAAAAGGGATCCATGATCACCATTTATTTGACAATTTTTTTTACACAATTAAAAAAAATGTAGAAATAACCATTGGATAAAGTGAAAATAAAAATAGTCTTGGTACTTTCTAATTTTTGACCTTAGAGCTGTAATAATCTGTATTTTGTAAAAAAATATATTCTACGAATAAAAAAATATTAGGCCTAACCCGAACCGAAATTATATTTTAAAAATAGGGCTGGTCCGGACTGAAGCCCGTTCGGGGCAGGATTTTCAGATCTCTAATATGGTAGAAAATTTTATCTCTACAAGAAAGCATGAATTAATATACAATATACTTGGATTTATCTTCTATTTTCAATAATTATAAAATTAATACTTACAACAAATAATTCAGGTATCAGTTTATTATTTGAGCATTGCTCAAGATTTTTGTCGATTATTTGGATTGATTCATATTATCCTTATATATTTCCCATTGAAAGGGGGGGGGGGTGAGGGGTTAGAGTGGTCGTAGATGGATGGTTAGTAATTCCGATTTTTATATCAACTAAACATTTCATATAAATGTCAATATTTTCAAATTAATGCATAATTTTTCAAAATTACTCCAAATTTCACTATAAAAAAATTTAAACGTGTTTTTTTTAATTTCCGATTTATTTCTTTGGTGAACAAATTATTTTTTTACAGAAATTTTATTTTTATTGACCAAAGATTTATATGTCACTGATCAAACAATATTAACTAATTTTATATTTACATTTTATTATTTGCAGTAACAAAATAATAATTTAATAAAATTACTGTTTTGAAAAAGGTCACATGTGAATAAAAAATTTTGTATATATATAAAAAAATAAACTTGATCAAATAATATTGACTAGTAAAAATACTCAGTTAATTATTCGAGTTTTTTAAATTCTTTACGGTAATGACACTTCCCGCAAAATTTTTATAGTCGGCAAAAAAATCAAGAAATAACATAATATCTATTCTTTCTTGGATAATACTTTCTCAAATAATCAATCAATTGTTTTAAAAATGAATTTCTTATGACATTACTATTTTGCAACATTTTGCAAAAAATTAAATTGTTTGAATTAAAATTATTTTGCAGGTAAAGATTCGGGTTCAAGCAGACAGGCCAAGATATTTTTTTTATGAATTTACCAGACAAAAGCATATTTATTTTGTAAAAAATTTAATTGAAAAAAAAAACCAAATAAAATAATATCATTTAATGTTTTCTTGCCATTATTTTATAATAATTGATTCAATATTTAAATTAAGCCTATAAATTCCCTTCTTAAATTTCCTTATTTAGTTCACCAAATGAAATATAAATGTGGTTATTATATATTTTTAAATCTTTATTTTTATTCGATTAGTTTAATTTACAATAAAATAACTGAATTTTTGGTTTTTGGATCTTTGTCAATAAAGTAAATTTTTCAAACATTTTCAAGAACTTCTGTTGACTATTCGGATCAGTGCGTATATCACAATCCGATAATTCGAATCCAGCAAGAACCATGTTTTTTTCTAAGGCCAACTAGGTGGTTCCGTCCTTGGAGGGGGGGGGGTAATATATAGTAGATTGTACCCAATCACGTGATTCGGTTAATATTATATTAAAAATTTATAAGTCTATTGCATTTTAATAAGGTCGTTGTTTAGCAAATAGGTAAATGTCGATCAACGTCATGATCATTACTCGAAATTAAAAATATAATTATATCAGCTGAGGCTATACTATTAAACTAATAAAGCTTATATATATAAAAATTATATAAACCATGATATAAAAGCATTAGAAAAACAAAACTATTTTTTAAAAAAAGAACATGTCCACCTAAAGAAGCGTGAATGCTTAGGAAGTTAGATCGACAAATTTTAAGGAAAATCTGCAGGCGAAAGTAGAATTCCTCGTTAGGGTCACCAGCAATTTTTTTACCGGGGAGTTTGATGAGATTAAGTGCCTCATTTATGAACATCCATAAGGTGTTAGTGACTATGGTCAAGAAAACAGTGTTTGTTAGGCCAGTGTATTTTTCAAGTTTAATGATTTCTGCCTTTTTGATAGCAGAAAATGAGAGATTAGACTTTGCTACAAAGTCAAATTATCTTTATTATATACTTAATTATTTTTAAAAAAAAATCCGTTTTTTAAATCAATCTGGATTAAGGATTCTCTTTTAAAATTTACAATCAAATTAAATTGCTATACTCCAAAAAAACTATCTTAGTTTCCTCAGATCTCAATGAGGGCCTTTTTTTGAATTCAAGTAGTTTTCATATATGTTTATATATTTTATTTTAATGTATATTTTAAATATCTTATTTTATGAATAGTTTGTTATTTCACAATAGGTAACGTAATATACATGCACTACCTTTGAGCCTAAAATTTATAAAAATAATATGGGCCAAGTTCAGTCCTAAAAATAACACCCCACCCCTTCCCCCCCCCACAAGGATTAATATGAGTGAGGATATGATAGAAGTGATAAGAGGAATGCATCTCTTGACATTGAGTCTGCGTTATAACAACTTGTGGATAGTTAGTAGTTTAGAATAAAAACGCGTCCAAGCAAAAAATTATATTATAATCACTGGTCATGGACTTTGCTATTGAAAAGAGTAGTTTTAAGAATTTGTAAAAGGTATTAAAATGAAAGAGGATATTTAGGTAAATTGATTTTGAAATGTTAAAAACCGATGGGAAGTAGTAATCAAATATAAGCAATTGATTAAATCTATCTTAGAAATATTGGATATTAATGTCACCGAAGTCTGTAACCTCGCTAAAGATTCTTTAAAGGAATTTTAAAATAGTAAATGAAGTTTTCCGAAATGGATACTAAAGAAAATTTTGTCCTATGTGCTCTATGATTTAAAGGATAGATATTCTGCTGCATCTTCATTCGAATCTTGGGAGGATAGGGGATAATATAATTGTATAAAAATTTTTGATGCAATAATTTTCTAAAAATATCAAAAGAAAAACAATTTATAATTTTTAGGTTAAATAAATTTTATTCAATTTATAAATCAAAACATTAAAAATTATATATATATAAATATGGGCATGCACCCAAATATAATTTTAGAAAATTTAAATATTGTTTATTTTACCTTACCACTTACTTTTCAACTTATATAATTTTTTAAATCTATTAATTTTATTATAAATGATTTAAGTATCTTCCCCTAAAAGTTGTTTCATTCGGAAGAGAGATTTTTTATTATTTTATAATATATGAGTTCTCGCCTACATTGTAGAACCTTTGGCACTAGCAGGAGTTCGGGCGATTTGTATTCTTAATTAAATTTCATATTCCTTCTATTATTACTTATGTTAAATGCATTAGGTCAACTAAATATCATCTTGATGAATTATATTGTTTCAGTGGATTTTGATTAACAACCAAACGAAATATATGAATTTGAGTAAGATAAAACCCGCATGCAGTTTAAAACAAACAAATTAGATATCAGCTAATAAAGAACGATTTATTAATCTAATTTTTTAATTTATGATAAATAATAATCAGTCCGTTAACCATAGATAATTCTGATTTCACTGACTGCAATAACCGCATCTAATACTGATGTAATCATTTTTCAACTTTCCGAATATTTCACGATAACATCACTCCTCCATTTAAGATACTATCGTTTAACATATAATTAATTATTTGGGTGAGGAGGGTTACCAGAAGGAGGGATTGGCTACCAGCGTCATTGAGCTCAGACATATAGCTTCATGGGTGGTCTCAGAATTATTTCCAATAGAATAGAGAGAGTGCACTGAGATAAGATATAAATTTATAGCTATAAAAAGGAGCTATTTAAATAAATTCTAGTTATTAGATTCTTTGATTATAAAACTAACCTTTTCATCTACCAAAATAATTTTTAGAAAAATATAATCATATTTTGGCAGACAAAATGCATCATTATCTACTTTTTAATCTATGGGTCTATACTGGGATATTATATATATTTTATTATAATTTGAAAAATTTTCTGGTCCAAATATTTTGGATTTTTTATACACAATTTCTTAATTAATTTTCAATTTAAAGATATTTTTTTAGCAATAACAATCATCATATTTATGTTCAATTTTTTAAAATTGTATCCGTTTTGTTAAAAATCATAATACATTTTTGTTGGTAATGCAAAACGAACATAGCTAATAAATAATTAAAGCTTACTAAACTGTCTAAAGAATTAATAATTTATTCTTAAAAAATTTATTATAATTTCCTTTATAATAATATAGGTCAAAAAATTTAATATCTAAAATGCCAGCAATACCTATCTATTCGATTAGCTGACAAATCCACAGTGAATTAGTCTCATACAGAGTTTCGAACCGAACCGCAAAATAGTAACGAGCCGTTATTATTTTCTGAACCATAACCGTAACCGAACCGTTAAAGAAATATAAAAAGAGCGAACCGAACTGTTATAAATATTTAAATCGATACAGTTTTTGAAAATAATTAATTTTAAATTTTTTCCCTAAATTGAAATTTTAATTTTACTTGAGGGCAATTTGAATTCGTGATTTCCTTTCAAATTAATTTTTTTTATACAATTAAATCGCCCTTTATCTTCATATCAATCAATACCAAGTTTATTGTTTTTACTTAATATACTCAATTTAATAGAATTAATTCGATATAAAATAATTTTAAAATAGTAATCAGACAATTTTGGCTGAATTATAAAGTCTCTTCTTATATATATATTTATTATTTGGTTTTTATAGTGATTCCAATATTCATATAAATTTGTTTTTTTAAATTTTAAAATAATAAAAAATCTTACTATAAATCCTTAATTTAAATAAGTTAACTAACATTGCTTTAAATAATTTTAAAACTTTTATTTTATTTATGTTTTTTATATATAGATGGCCTTATACTGAGTTAAAAATAATAGCCAGTTTTACATTTTAGATGTTAAATTTAAAATTAAATTTATAAAATCCGGAACGAACCGTTATAAATTATAAAGAACGAACCGATATGAATTTCTTCAAAAAAAACCGGAATGGAACAAAATTTTTATAAAATTTTAAACTAAATACCGGAACAAACCGAATGATTCGAAACCCTGGTCTCATACCTAAACAAATACGATAATTAAATATACCTTTTATGCCTATATGATAAAGTACATCACGTAAAGAACTGTAAAGTCTGTATACTCTTCACAAATCCGGACAACTTATAAAGCAAAATTTAAAATAAACCAACTAATCATTAGTAAAACCATGACTATTAGGTGATAGTCACCAAAAAATAATTTCATAATATAAAATATATGTTTAAATAATAATTTATACTAGACAGAATGGTTACGAAGAGTGCCTTGATATTAGGCTCTCTGGGACAAGGTATACGATACGATGCAATTTCGTTATTTATTTTTTGGGGTACCTTCTTAGTCAAAATACATAGTTAGCGTCATTGGTTTAATGGGATCTAGATGACCTTTCTTGTCATCCCTTATGAGTTGCTTTTTTAAAATTCCCATCACATGAATTTTTATTTTGCTGATACGAACTTATATTAGTATGGAACTCCCATTCGGCAAAATCAAACTGATAACTTAGGACTGCTTAATGTAATCCGTTTGATAGCACCAAAAGACACACATTGGCCAGGGTTTATATTTACAAAAAAAGATTGTGTATATCACCGGCTCTTTGATTGATCCATTGTTCGTCAAGTTGTATTTTTCAGGATGTCCGTTTATCGACCGGTCATGGTGTGGCACTTGTTTCTTTACATAATACATAAAGTATATACTATTACAAAACTAAAAAACGATTCTATTCTAACACAAACAGAAAAAAATGATAATTTTTATTTTATTTATAATACTCTCTAATATAACGCTTCACCCGCTTCAAAAAATGACTTTAAAAAAAATGAATTGATAATAATAGTTTTGAAAAAAATATATATCTGTTTAATGTTCAAAAAAATATATATTAAATTGTCATAATATTCCACATAATTAATGTATAAAAAAAATGAATACTACTTATACCTTTATGAAAGGCAGCATTAAAAAAATTATAAAAACACGAATAAGCAAATTTACATAATTTTCATAAACCTTTTTTATTTTCCGAATTTTCTTCATCGAATTAATATACTATAATTTCGGTTAGGATTGGTGTCTTTTTAGTATCTAATCTGTACCACATCAAAATTAAGTCCGAAATAATATTCGAAATGAAAACCTGGATAATATTAATAACTTGTGCATATAAAATTATTTTAAAAGAATAAACAATAGCATAGCTCAAAATTTACTATATGTAATGAATTTTGTTTTGTACCAATTGCATTAAGATATTAATTACACATTGATTTGCTTATAATATAAGTTGTTTCTTTAAAATGCACTCGCTTACCATTTATTTTATATCAGATTGACTAAAAAAATAGTTCGTGGTAGTGTAGTCAGCATTTATCTAAGAAAGGGTGGAGGGGGGATCACGAAAAAAATTAGGGAGACCCGCCGCCAAATACTTTCTCCCGGCCTTTGATTGGGTTACCGATATAAAAAATTATGCTAATTTTCCTGTGGTTATTTTAATTTAGCTTCTTAAAATTTTTATAACAACTCCGTTAATGTTGTCCGAACAATTAGAGAGGGTCATGCTTAGTATTTGATATCTGTAGCGACTTTTGAGCAGCTAAATATTTTAAAATTTTAAAGGTGGCCACCAGATTTAAAAAAAAATATTTTAGAATATTTTTTCGAATAATCTCTTTCCTAACCCTTCATATTATAATGTTACACATACATTAAACAAACTAGGTAATCAATATTGAAATAAAGTCTTAAGAAATTTTAATTGCAAGAAAGTTCATTTATTTATTAAAATCTATAAATTTTAGTAACATACCATAGAGTTTTCTTTATAAGTTTCGGAAGTGATATGTGTTTAATATTCTCTGTTTCTTTTCAATTAGGGCAAGTTATACAAATCATACAAATAATTTTTCATTAAATAAATTAGTAGAAAATCAGTGAATGCAAATTAGAAAGTGTAAAAACGATAATCAGGTTGGTACGTATGGCGCTTTAGTGAATGTTTCAGAAGCAAAATGCTAAAGTGTTGTATAGAACAGTTTATTTGTCCAAATATTAGAAGATTTTTCCGGTTTTGGTTATCGTGGTTATTTGGCTTGATGTTCTGGTACAGGTAGCAAAAAGACGAATTGGTTCACATATTGTAGTTTTACGCATATAAAAAACATAATATTTTTCGACAAGAAGAAGAATGGTTTTAAGGATTTATTAATCATAGCAAAGGAGCTTGCTGATGAGTTTAACATAAGTTTGTGATAGCTGACTAGTAATAGCAAATTTTATTCAAGAGAACTAGAAAGCAGTTTTCCTGTGAAGTTGAACCTTTATAATCTTGAGGAAAGATATAATATTGAGTTTTTCAATGTATTACTTGACTAACTATGATATCTTCATACAAACGTTTCCAACAGTTAAATATTTCAGGACAATTTGGCTTATTCATCTATATATCTATTTTGTCCTATGAACCTGAAGTTGATTCATGAATTTATTGCATTAAACTAAATATTTTGCTTACAGACTTCATTGTAAGGAGAAATTGTAATTAAGATTTAAGGGTTAAACTAAAAACCCCTTAATTAACACTCCTAAAAAAATTCAAGATTTATCCATAGATTGGTAGCGTTTCCCAATATTGATTGCTTTAGATTTGTTACCAACAATTCCGATCATTGTAACTTCGAGAGAGCATAGTTAGCTTAAATTAATCAAGACCGATCTAAAGTTCTTTATGAATTATGACTCAAGATTAGTTTGTTACCTTTTCTCTATTCCAAAGAAAATGATATCTTCTTTAGATTGCGAGATAACATATTTTACTCCCTTTTACAACCAAAAAGGCAAGGAAGATAAAATTTTATCTGCATTGTCTTCGTAAATAATTTTTGGTATAATTATCAATTTGATTGTAAATACATACCTCATGTCATTTAAATTTATAATGTATTTTGTAATTATGCTTATTTGTAAGATGGTCATTTATATGATAACTTAATAGATATTAATAGTTTTCTTTATTATCAAAATATCGGGAAGATAGGCAACCGGATTTCAAATAGGCTACTTTAAATATTTTTACTCGGGCCGCCAAAAGTCTACAATTAAAATTTTAGAATATACGCCAATAAAGGAAAATAATTGTTAACAACAAAATTTTAAAATTAAAAAGAATCTGAAAACATTTATTAGGATTTTTTAAATCTATAGTAAGTATCTAGTTAGCACTTATATTTCGCTTATGGCTAATGCTTATTAATTTCTCAATCAGTTTTGCGAACCACAAAAAACTGAGTAAAAACTACGATGTCATGCTTTAAGGGTGAAAGCCAATCCTTTGGAACTAATTCTTTATATAAAACCCTTAAATAGTGCTGAGTATATATTATTCTTTAATCTGTTTGATAAATTGTTTAAAGGAAAAAAAAATGTAAAATCAGAAAAAATTGCCAAAATTGGCATCCTGTCAGAATAGAGAATATAGAGATTCTAAATAACTGGTTTGCTTTAACATTTAGTGCCTTACTTGTTAATTCCTTATTCAATTTTGCCAATCAAATAAAGTAGCCAAATTGTAAGCCGAATAAAAACTATGATATCACATCTTAAGTCTAAGGTCAACTAAACTTTTGGAAGTATTAACTCTGAAGCTTGTTACATAATTAGTGATTATTTAGTACATTTTAGTACTTCAACCCATTTGGTATATAGCTTAAAGATAAATGCATTATTGACAAATTAAAGTAAAATTGCCAGAAATAATATCATGCTAAAAGAAAAATTATAAAAGCTCTGAATATCTGGCTGTGCCAATATTTGCGATTCATAACAGGGACCCGGAACAAATAAATTTTTGCTTCTTTTTCCCGTCCGGCAAAAATGTTCCTTTGGACGTTTCGGAACGTCCCGGAACGCGCTCCTAAAAATAATTAATATTTTTATTTTATTAATACACAATTTTTATTTATTAATCCTTATGATATGGATCAGTTATTACGTCTAAGCACTAATCAATAAATTCTCTAAAAGATTATCATTTATATTTGTCATTATTATGCGAGAAGGGGCCTTGCAAATTGCATAAAAATGTTACCTTTGAAGGAACTATCTGGCGTCTGTATTCTCCTATAGATATAGATATTCAATTAACATTTTAAAATAGATTAATTTATATTTCATCTAGCATTACTATAAGCTATATTTATTTGGTCAATATGTAAATAAATTAAATTCCATGGTGGAAAGAAATAGCTAGTCATTATCTATGTTTACGGGATGTCTTTTAAAATTATTTATTTTTTATAAAATCAAATTAAAATGATATTAATAAGATTATGATATTCTAATGATTGATTCTTTGGAAATCTTTATAAACTTAGAAAATTAAATATGGATAATATTTTTTTGTTTATCTATCTTAATATTTAATTTTAAAACATTCAATATACATATAAATATAAATTAAATCCTTTTTTTTTAAATGGCTTAGTATACATCCTGGCTGAGGAGCAGAAACTATTTGGTTTGAATCCTAACTTTCAACTTAAATTAATTGTTTCATACGATTTTTAATAGCCCTTTGCCATTTTTATCTTAATTATAATATGTTGCAATTTCACTTATATATAGCCTTTTTAGTAGTGTCCCTTTTCAAACACGTGGATAATTTTTAGTCCCTGCTCTGTATCTGCAAATTTTTGGGTTGAGCCCTCCCGCACCACGGGGGTGGAGGATATAATCTGTGGTTTCTCTCCTCTTCATTTTTCATTCATCACCAGAATATTCGTTCTTGTATCCAAATTGATTTATGAAAATCTACTTTTTAAATTTAATATTCATCGATTAATTAGATATGATACAAACATCTAAATCAAAACCTTTTTTTTATTAAGTAATTTTATTTTTCTTTGAGATCACCAAATTCAAAGATATAACTTAAATGTATAATGGAGCATTCGTGTCTGCTTTCAAGTTTTTAAGTTGTTTTAGTACAAATGGAAATTATTTATGAACAATTTATGTTTTACATAAAAAGAATTGTATTATCAGTAATGGAATATTTTTGATAATTAAATATTAAAAAAAAATAGTTTAAGATGATTTTATTTTTAAAATTTATTAAAGTTAACAAATTGAATATTATTTATGAAATTTAGGAAAACATAAGTCTCAAAAAATAATAATTAACAACGAGTTATAGGAATTGCACAAAAAAATATTTTAGCTAATAATTTTATTCAGCATTATTCATTAAATGTTAATCAACCAATAAAGAAAGATTAGGAAGGATATATAGCATCAATATTTGTAAAAACCAAAGGCTGGGCCTATATTATTGATGATATTACACCTGAGCTCGGTTCGCCTTGGAAACAGACTTGCCTAAAGACTCTAGCTAGATGCTGTAGATTATATTTTCTAGGAATGAAAGAGTGTCCTTATAAAAGAGGACAGTTGATTAAGTTACATAAAGAATTCTCAATAATATTATTATCCTTGAATGAGAAAAAAAAATTAAATTTTCGAAAATAAGTGTTTTAAATGACCATTTATACTTTGCGCTTGTGATTTATAGTTTGTTTTGTTTATAAAATTCCTGGCAATTAATTATAAATATTTTAACATGTTTACGAATTTATTTATACATTTTTATAAAGTAAGTTTTAATGTTTTTTTTAGCAGCTTTCTATTTTAAAATTCAAAAATTTGATATAATTGAATAATATTTGTATTACTATATTAGAGATCAGCACCGCCCGGTCTGAACAGGCATGTTAAGATTTTCAAAAGGTTCCATCTTCGCTTCGCCATTTTTTTTAGCCTGACCTATTTTATTTTTACAAGTTAATTGACCGCTCGGGTGCAGTATACAGATTATACTATACTATATTAGAATAATCTAGAATGTTTAAAATCAATTTCCTAGATCCCTGTCTAGATTTTGCTTGAGATATAAGATCGAGATTGTTATGTGATTACCTTAATAAGGATATACTAAAGTTATTATAATGACAAAATATCTTTTTCATCTCGTGCAAATTCGTGGGTTTTTTTAAATACCATTTTAAACAAATATAAATTAATACCTTTTCACTCCCACCTCTTTGCC